AAAAAAAAAAAAAAAAAGGAAATCCTTCTGCTGGCATCTTTCAAATGCTTGTTTTGCAGTGATTGTGGGGGCACTGGGGTCCCCAGTGGTGCTGGGCTAGAATTTGTATAGCTGCCCCCTTGCCGCAACTGCTTGTGGCTGCTGAAGGTGGCCTGCCGCCAGAAATCATCAATAAAGTAGAGCTGCTTAGCAGATCATAACCACGGACCGCTTGCTTTGTAAAGCCCCCGGCAAGGTGGACGCGGGATGGAAGGCAGGGCTGGCATTGCAAGGCATGAGTTCAGTGGCACCAAAAGCCCCTGGTGGTGAGGGCTACTGTAGCTGAGGGTTTGAGCCCCAGCATGGAACAGACCCCTCCCCGCCCATGGGGTGAAGCCTCCTTCGGAGGGAAGGCTGGAGGGGAAAGGGGCCGGCAGATGTTCATCCCGCCCTGCCAGCCCAGGCGCAGGAAGGAATTGCCCAACAGCACTCACCTTTCAATTCCTCTTTCCAGGCCAGGTTTCAGCCTCGGCCTCTGTTCCCACCGGCAAGAACAAATGGGAAATTTGAGTTTCCTCTGACTGAGACTTAAGAGTGTCCCTAGCTCTACGGGGAATTTCTCCAAGTGGACTTCCCAGGCTTCTGCTTGTAGGGTCCCTGGGGGCTCCTGACCAGAAGCGTCTGGTAACTGGGTGGGGGGTGGAGAAGCAGGAAAGGCCCAGGCCTCCTGGGAAAGGTGGGTCAGAGAGGGGGATGGGAGTCGGGGAGTGGGGTGGGTGTGGATGTTGGTAAGGCTCTTGGGCCGGGGAGAGCGGCTGAGGCCCAGCTGTCCCCAAAGTCTCCAACAAAAGCATTTGGGAGGCTGAGGCGCCAGGACCTCCAGCCGGAGCTGGCTGCGGTGCAGGGCGGGGGCGCACTTGGACCCAGAGAAAGTCCTGGGTTCAGTCCTAGTTACTGAAAACAAAACAAAACGGGCCGGCAAAAAAGTACTGAATTTGGGGGAACCCTGGGAGAGTCCCAGGCACTGAGAGTTTGGGGGTGGCATGAAAGGGGGGAAGGAAACAAGGAGGGGAAACGGGGTGGAGAGGGGCGACACAGACAGGCAGACAGGTCCTTTCCCTTGCTGCTGGGGCGAGCAATGGGGACAGAGGAAGAAGAAGGATGGGCAACCTGGGGCAACCGGAAGAAAAGTGGCAGCCGGCTGCCCAGAGCAAGAGACATGGGGGCGGGCATTATTGTTATTAGATGGAGCCCAGGGCTGGGGCACTGAGCTACAACCCCCTCCCCTCGAACTTTTTACTTTGCGGCCCGGTCTCCTCCAACTAGGAACCTCTAGCGACCTGGTGAGTCGGAGAGTCACGCAGACAGCCGCCCGGAGAAAGTTTTAGCAGTCACGGGACCCGGGGCGGGCGTGGCCGGGATCTCCGCGGGGCGGAGCAGGCGGGAGGAGCAGATAAAAGGCGGCGCGCGCGGCAGGACCGGCACTTGCCGTCCGTCCCCGGCCATGAGCTCCTGCGCCGACGTCGCCAAGGACCCCGAGGCCCCGTGGCCGCCCGCGCCGCGCTCCTGCGCCCGCCGCCGGCTCTGGCAGGTCCTGGGCGCCGCGGGGCTGCTGCTGGCGGCCGTCGCCCTGGGCGCGGGGATCGGGCTAGCGGTCGGCAAAGCCGCCGCGTCCGGCCCGGGGAGCCCCGGGGGCCTCCTCAACACCCTGACGGGATCCACCGAGGTGAGGCTCCCCTGCGCGCGCGGACCCCGGCTCCCTCCCTCCGGCCCCTCCGGGAGCTCCCTCTTTCCCCGGGGACTTAGGGTGCGCCCTCACCGCCCGAGGCTTCCAGGGGACCGCGTTGCTCTTGCAGATCGGGGCTCGGGAAACGCCTCTCCCGCGTTTCCCACTCCCGTCTGCGCAGACCGAGCCGCCTCCTTCCCGCGCGGCTCGCAGGTGGCCGGGCGGGCCGCTTCCCGGAGGCGAGGTCGGAGCCTCGCTCCACCGTGCCCTTCCCTCTCTTCGCAGGAGCCGCAGGACCCGGCGCCGATTGTGACCCCGACGGCCAGGCTGCTGGCCCAAGACGGTGAGCTTCCAGCCGGGCAGCGGTCGGCGTGCGCACCGCGTCCCTCCGCCCCCAGTCCCGGGCGGCCTCTGCCGCTTTGCCGCTGCGGCTCGCGGTCGGAGCCGGGCCGTCAGCGCGCCCTGGGCACCTGTCCCCCCGCCCCGCGCCCTTACCTTCGTCTCCGCCTGGGATCCGGTCGGGGTGCTGAGCAGGCCCCCGGAGCTCCCCGGGCCGGACGCGGCGGGCTTGCCGACCGCTAGCCCGATCCCCGCGCCCAGGGCGACGGCCGCCAGCAGCAGCCCCGCGGCGCGCAGGGCCTGCCAGAGTCTTTGCATTGAGCGATGTCCCCAGCTCTATCAATATTATTTTTTTTTTAAATTCTGAGACACTCTGGCTAAATCTCTATTTTGCCCAGGCTGAACTCCACCTGTTAACTTTCTGCCTCAGCTACAGTACAGGGTCGCTCCACCGAGTCTGGGTGGCTTTCATTCTCCCCTGGCCCCTCTTGCCCCGTCCCCCCATTCCCCTTCCCACCCCTCCCCCTTACCTTCCCCTTCCCACCCCTCCCCCTCCTCTTTCCCTTCCTTTCCCCTCTGTACCCCTCATTCCATTCCCTTTTCCTCCCCTCTCCTACCTTCACCTCTCCTGTCCTCGCCACCCTTCTTCCCCTTCTCCTCCCCTCCGCTGCCCTCCCCTCCCCTTTCTCCTTACCTCTCCCTCCTCCTCCCTTCTCTTCCCCCTCTTCCTCTCCTTTCCCGTTTCCTATCCCTGTATGTGTCACTGTCTAATCACTAGAGATGTTGGACATCTTAAGTATATATTTATTGATCATTTGTACTTCTGAGCAGTATCTATTCATTTCAGTTTCTCTCTCTTTTGGGGAGGAGTGAGTCTTTTATTTTGGAGAGACCTCATGTTAGCTTTTGAGTTCTTTATGTATTGTAGATATTAGTGCTCTGTCTGAGGAGTAGCTGGCTGATTTTTCCCCTCCATTGGGTAGGTTGTTTCTGCACCGTTGTTTGCTGTGTAGAAGCTTTTCAATTTCATATAATCCCATTTTCTTCTTGATGCTATTGTGCAGTCGGGACTCTCTTCAGGAAGTCCTTGCCCGTGTATTTGTCTTCAAGGCTTTCATAAGACTGTTTTATCCTTCAACAGATTAAATGGTCTTGGCTTAATCTACAGGTCTTTCATCCATTTTAATTTTATTTCGGTGCATCTGGGCTCAGTCTTGTGCACGTGTGTAGCCACTTTTTGCAGCACCATTTATTAATGAGGCTGTCTTTTCTCCAGTGTGTGTTTCAGCCGTTTGTCACAGATCAGGCAGCTGAATGCGGGTGGGGCTGTTTCTTTTTTTTTTTTTTCTCAAAGTTTTATTGATAAACAGATAGCAATGAGACAGTTTCAAATCAAATCGGAAGTACAGTTTCAACAAATAATACACTGCATATATTCTTCTTAGTGGTTAATTGCTGTACAAGATGCGGACTTGTGATCCTATTTACAAACATCATTAGAACAAATCATTCTATTCATTAAGAGAATGCAACTATCTATCTATCCCAACCTCTTTGAATACACAGATACAAAATGGACATTCATCTGTATGCCCCATTTTTTCTAAGTTCCGTTATTGAATATTATAGGTGTGTGAACTCAGCAAAATATTCTAAAAGAGTCCAGTAGCCCATAATAGCATTGGGTCTTCTGTTTAACTGGCAATGTCAGAAATTATTGACCTGAGTCCCCCACAGCTCAACTTAACAGCATGGCTTTATTTCTTATATTTCGTCTTCATACTTTTCTACTGGATGGTTAAGACCAAGGTAAAGCAGGACCTATACAACAAGAGTTGCAGCTTTTTGGTCTGAGAAGGTCAGTGAAATGCCCTCAGGATTTGTCCTGAGATCCTGTACCTCAGATTGTAGAAGGGTGGGGCTGTTTCTGCACCTTGTCTTCTTTTCCTTTTTGAATCATGTAGATTTGTAATCTAAATTTTTATTGTTGTTTTGGAGACAGGGTCTTGCCATGTAGTGCAGACTGGTCTTGAACTCACTTATATATCCCAGACTGGCCTTGAACCCTTGGCAATCCTCCTGCCTCAGCCTCCCAGGAGCTAGGTTGACAGGGGTGTGCCATCATGGTAATCTAATTTGGGTATGAGAAAATCAGATAAAGACTCAACTGAGAAAGACTGGCTGTCGCAGGCCAGTCTCTAATGAACATAAATGCAAAGCTCCTCAGCAAGGTACAGCACAGAGTGCAGTGAATCATCCAAGAGCTGATGTAATCTAATTTGAAATTCAGGGATTATGTTGTCTCCTGCTTTGTTCTTCTTGCCCAAGACTGCTTTTGGTGTTTTGAATCTCTTCTGGTTCCATATAAATTTTAGGATCACCTTTTCTAGTTCTTGGAGGAATGCTGTTGCAATTTTGACTGGGCTTGCAATAAGTCCACACCAATTCTGGAAGCAGGCTTCACTGTAGAGGTCTCCTGCTTCTTCTTCTTCTTCTTGTTTTTTTTGGAGGGGGGAGGGTGCGGAACCAGGGATTGAACTCAGGCCCTTGGGCTTGCCAGGGAAGCACTTATTCCACTGAGCCATCTCCCCGGCCCCTCTCCTGTTTCTTTGGGTAGATTAATTCCTAAGTATTTAATTTTTCACGAAGTTATTGTGAGCGATACTGTTTTCCTAATTTCTTTCGGAGGGGGGGTCATTATTGGTGCACCCCCCCTCCGAAAATGGAATGGTTTATTTTGGGTGTTTATTTTGTCTCCTGCCACCTTGCTGAATTTATTAGTTCTAGTGGTCTTTGGTGGAATTGTTCTTGAGTTTTTATGTAAAGAATCGTGTCGTGGTTTGACTATTTCTTTTCCTTTGTGTATTTATCTTATTTTTTCCTCTTGCCTGATTACTCTAGCTAAAGTTCGGGCACACCTGTAATCTCAGCACTCTCAGAAGGCTTTTTCTGGATCTGAGATAATATTGTGATTCTTGCCCATGCTTCTGTTTGTGTGCCCTGAACACGTACGTGTTGATTTGCATGTGTGGAGCCTTCCTTGCGTTCCTGGGCTGAGGCCTGCTTGCTCACGATGTACGAGCTCTTGGATGATCAGCTGCACTCTGTGTGCTGTACCTTGCTGAGGAGCTTTGCATTTATGTTCATTAGAGACAGGCCTGCGATGGCCAGTCTTTCTCAGTCGAGTCCTTATCTGATTCTCTCATACCCAGCACTTTAAAAATTTAGAAGAAAGCCGCAGATTTGCGATTGCTTGCTTCAGCCTCCCAGGGTGCCGGGGTTAGAGGCCTGCAACACTGAGAGGCTTCTTCCCTTTGTTCTGAGACCCCCATGCTTGCCCAGGTCCCCTCCTCCTCCCCCGACCCTCTTCTCCAGCCCTTGCTTCCAGTGTCCTCCGTCCTACCCCCCACTCCTCCTTGACCTCTTACCTTTCTTCTGAGGCTTTTCTTCCTCTGCACCTCAGACCCCACTGGGTTTCCAGTCCTTCCTCCTGAGTGTTCCCTTCCTCACCCACTTCCTCCCGGGTCTCCTTGGGCTCCCCTTTCCTTCCTAGCCAGGACTGTAGCATCAGCTCGCCCCAGCACTTCTATTTATTTTTTAATTTTTGGGCAGAATTTTATGCAGTTGTCCAGGCTGGGCCTGCACTTTATTATCATTATTGTTATTTGTATTTAGTTCAGAGTCCACAGGGTCTCACTACACCGATTAGACTCGTAGTAATTCTCCTGTTTTCAGCTTCCCAAGTGCTGAGATTACAGGCGAGTGCCACCACTGCCAGTCTCAATTGCTAAGTGCTACTCGGGGATGGAGCATGGTACACCTGGAATTGAACCATGGTTCCTGTGCTCTGCCTGAGGAGGCACTTTAATCAGCTGAGCTATCTGGCCGGCCCAAGGACCTGAACTTTAGATCCTCCTGCCTCAGCCTCCCAGAGTCTCCCCAGCTCCCTTGGTGACCTACTTTCTAGGGCCAAGCTGCCTCCCATCACTTCTTGTCTTCCTTCCCTTCCTGTTGACTTCCTCCTTTCCCATTGTCCTTTCCTCCCTTCTAGCCCATTTCCCCCCCTAATATGTCCCCTCTGGTCCTGCCAGGCCACCCCAGATATCTTCAGGACAGCTGTGCTCCTCCCATTCTCAGCATCTCCCTTCTTCTCTCCCTCCTACAGTGATCTTGAAAAATGGGACCCTGAGCTGGTACAGCGAGAAGGGGATGGCGGATGTGCTCCTGCTCCCCGGCCTGACCTATGACAAGCGCAGGAAGGAGCTGGTGGTGGCGAAGGCTGGACGCTACCAGGTCTGCCTGTACCTGGAACTGAGTCACATACTGCCGGACTCCCGGGTCTCTGGGAGGGTCTCACTGGCCCTGCACCTGGAGCCACCCCAAATTGGGGTCACTGCCCAAAGTGTGGCTGTGAAGCTGAAGCCCTCCTCCCCCAACGCAGTCGGAGATTATCACTGCCAGTGGCTGCAGATGCCTGACAATCAGCGACTCAGTGTCCACCTCAGCGCCTATCTGCCTACTGAGGCCGGCGAGTACCAGGCCTGGCAGCTAGCCCAGACTGCCACCAAGCTAGAGCTCTTCCAGATGGCCGTCGAAGTCCCAGACTGACTCCCTTCCGCATGATGCCTGTTGTGGTACTGCTCGCCTGTCCTTCCTTTCTTGTGGCCTCTGGTGCTAGGACAGGGTGCTCTACCTCATGGGTTGGGCAGAGGTCCCTACACTGACCTCTCCTCTCCAGGACTCTCCCCACCCCCACGTATTTATTCTCAGAAAGTCTACTTTATAATAATACATTGTATTGCACTTATATTTATTGAGCACTTACCGTGTGCCAGGAAGGTGCTACAAAACCATCAGAGAAAACAGACCCCAAGTAAAGTTTTATTTATGTTAATATGGGAGATGTGTATCCTCCCACCCCCATTGTGGATCTAAACTTTTCTCTAGAAAATGTGCACCTGGCAAGCGAGTGGTCCATCTGCCGCTCATTCATTCCTGCAGGTGTTCACTGGGGATTCACTGACAATGGACCAGCGTTTGTTTTCTTTTCTTCCTTTTTTTCTCTTTCACAGTGCTAAGGGGGAACCCAGGGCCTCACGCACATTAAGCAAGTGCTCTCCCACTAAGCTACACCTCCAGGCAATCCACTTTCTTTTATTTTGTCTTGCAGTGAGGTGTGGGAAGAAACCATGGCCTTTGCCCTGAACTCCATCCTCAGCCCTTTTCTTATTTTTTTATTTTGAGACCAAGTGTTGCTAAGTCCCTAAGTTTCCCTAGCTGGGCTTGAACTCGTGACCCTGCCTCAGCCTCCCACAGTGCTGGAATGACAGCTGTCTGGCTTTTAGCAATTCTTTATGTACCCCTTAATCCAGTCATTGGGACCTAAAATGAATTGTGAGAATATTGGATAATGAAATTTGTTGAGCTGGATGCAGGGGATGGTTTTCTGTAGTCTCAGCTCCCAGGCCAGCCTGGACAATGTCGTGAAACTAAGTTTCCAAATAAAATTAAGAAGGGCAAGGGATGTAGCTCAGTGGTCAGATGCTTACCTAGCATGTGCAAGACCCCACCCCCAGATTTGAGGGGTGTGTTCCGGCCATCACAAGCTAGTTGTGGGAGGTTTATGAGTTGTGTCCTACCATTTCCTGTGAAGGTACTTGAGGTTATTTACTTCTATTGGGTCCCTGGGATGGAAATACTGTGTAACAGTTCTGGGTCATGTGACATCACACTGGTGATCTTGGAATTGGGGATGACAAGAGAGTGTACAGGAGTGGAACCATAAAGGACTAGGGGTGGGGCTTGATTTCCTCCTGTGGCTTTATCCCCTGACTTGCAGGAGCAGTGGAGGCAACGTTAGTGCTAAGCCTGTAGGGTCCTAGAGACGTTGTACCTAGCACAGACAACTGAGGAAGCTGTGGCTGAGCGTTATCATGCTGTAATCTGGTTCTGCTTGGTTGGTTGTTGGTGTTACTACAAGGCAGTGAAGCTGAAGCCCTGGTACTTATTCTGTCCTTTGTCTGACTGCATGGACTTGAGATGCAACATGGTTATGTCTCAAGATTTTGGGAACAATGAAGGGATGTGGCGCATGTGTGTGAATAAAGTGATAAGACATTTACAAGGATGACTATATATTTTTTTGGGGGGGTGACATAGGGTTGTTATGTTTTTATTTTTTAAAGAGAATGCAAATTAGAACTAAAACAAGAAATTACAAGTGATATAGACTTTCACTTAACAAAGTAATATGAATTTCACAGTATTTGTTGTAATACATAGTGCTGTCTTCCAGCCAGTTATTCATATGACCAGATATATGCATGTAAAATTGGAATAAGGTGTTTTTTTTTTTTTTTTTTTTTGCTCCGAATGCCCTCAGGGGTGGTTTGGCTGGCTGGAGTGTTGTGGGGATCCAACTACAGCAACCTGAGGCTGACAGCTTTGTGGAAGCAGCCACTTAAACAACTGAGCTTAGGCCAGGCCCCTATAAAATTGGAAGAAGAAACAAAGACACGAAAAAAAGACACGTATAAGAAATTAAAAGTACAAACAATTGAAAAAAGGAAAACAAAACAAATTATTATCTGCTCCTTTCCATATACCAGCAGAAACGCACAGTATGGTTGTCCAAACCATCCTGCTTACATATCTAGATAAATCTCTTTCCTCCACTCCCTCTCCTGTCCTTCTCAACTCAGTTGACTCTTTCCTTTTAAAAAACTCTTTCCTTTCTGAGTAAGTTCATTCCCTTATGGTTTTTGACCTAAAAGATCCCCCCAAAGTCTCACAAGTCCCTCAAGCCTCCCTCATTAAAAAAAAAAAAATATTGGCACATTTTAGATATTTAGGAAGGGCTTTTGGAAGGCAAACGAGCTGGGGGGAGCTCCATGACCATCCGCAGATGACTCCATCGATGAGCTCATATGCTGTTAGGGGTGGAGTTTGTCTGGAAGAATCCACCGATGAGCTCATTTGCTGTTAGGGGTGGAGCCCGGCTGGAGGAACCCACCAATGCGCTCATTTGCTGTTAGGGGTGGAGCC